ACCCTTTGTAGGGTACACCAGCTGGGTGCCCAGCCCTTGCCACAGCCCTGAGCCTTCGGGACTTAGGCAGCCACCATTGTTCCAGAAAGGATCTGGTCCCAGCTGGTCAGGGTACCCTAGAGGAAGGGTCTCCTAAGCTTCCCACAATTTTCATGGTGGACCTCAGCAGGATAGAGCCCTTCCAGGCTGGGCCAAATCTCCATGTTCTAGCCTCAGCTCCCTATGGGAAGATGCAGAGAGGGGTGTCTGCTGCCCCCCGGACCCAGGGTGCTGGAGACAAGTCAGCCTGAGATATGGATATAGCCAGGAAGATTGGTAGGGTCCCGGCTCTACCCAGCCTGGTTCAGGCAATCCCTGGGCACCTTGGGCCCCACGGTCCCAGAGAAGAATGTGGCATAGGGAGGTGCCCTGGCAAGTGGTAGAGCTGCTAAGCAACAGCTCATCTTGCCTTCCTTTGGGGAGACAGCCAGGGAGGCCAGAACACCTCTTGGGCTTTAGATACCTAGTTAGGGGTAGAAAGGAGGCTGGCATATTCTTTGCCAGTTTTATTTAATTATCTTGCTGGCAAACCTGTCTTTTGCCCATAAGCAATAAGATTCATCATGAGATTTGAAGTGGTGACAACTAATGGTGGTGACCACTAATGATTACTGCAGGCACCTGTGTAAATGCTAGGCCAGGGCAGGGCCTGGCCTTGGGAGCCTCCAGCACCTCACGTGTGAGGGAACCAAGGCTCTCAGATGGATTCCCAGATTCAGAAGAAACAGAGGAAACAACTGCTCTCAGAGCCCAGGGCAGGCAGTAGCAGGGACTCGGCCCCACTTAGAACAGTCCTTGAGCAATGGGTAGAGCTAAAGCCTGCCGATCTGCCACCATTTCTTTCCTCTGAAAGCCCAAAGTCCCATCCTGAGAATGGACCTGCTCCCTCCAAGACACAGGGGACCCTGGCAGTGTGAAGCTTTGGCCTAGAACAAGATGACAAACAGGGACATAAGGGACAGTGCCTCTGAGGGCAGGTGGAAGCAAAGGGTCCCTCTTGCCCCATGCTCCTTCCTCCCCAACAATGAGAACTTGGGAATGTTGGGATCCCAGGAGGTAGGGGACAGGGTGGTCAGGAGGATGCAGCCCCCTCCCTGTAGTGGCCTTAGGACTAGGTCAACAGAGCCTAGCTGCAGGAGCAGGGACCACAGCTTCTGGTCCCAGCAGGAGAGGCGGGCATCTTCGCAGGCAGGGTCTAATCTGTGGCTCTGGCCCTTGTACCTGCCTGACATACCCACTAGCCCTATGGCAGAGCCCAAGCTGCCTTGTGGCCACAGCACTGGCATACAGCTCCTTCCCTCGGGAATGGTTCTTTGCCTGAACACCTGGTAGGGTGCCCCATCCCCTTGGTCTCAGGATCTATACTGACCTAGGAGGTGGAGGTGGGTAATTTGGGGAAAGTGCTGGCCCCCTGGCCCAAGATTGGGTCCTGAGAGGCGCAGATTTGCCATGAGGTCTGGTAGAACATTCCATAGCCGACCATCCACACGGGCTGTCCAGGTCTTGTCTGGCATCCAGTGACCACCGTATCATCATCCAGAAAAATGTCGTAGGGGCCAATGGCAGCCCTCGCATTCCTGGAGCTATTCAGAGCTGGAGCTGACCAGGATTCTCCATCCTTGCCTGAAGAGGAAGGGTTGTGGTCCTAACACCAGGCCAGAACCCTGAGTCTTTAACATCTCACCCTGGATGCTGTCCCCTAACTATAGCCTAATGCCCCAGAACGCTGACTGGGTTCCTGGATCTGCCTCCCTGGGACCTTGGGCCTCTCCCAGGCAGTTGCTTGGAGGACACAGGCCCTCTCTGGGCCGAGGGCTGACAGTCATGCTGGCCTGGAGTTCACATCCAAACGGAAAACCTGTCTGCCCTGAGAGCCGGCATGGTCCCAGGAAGACCGGGGCTTTTCCAGGCTATCAGAACCAAGGCGGGCCATTGGCCCCACTTCCTCTTTTGGTCTGAACAGGGCATTCTGTTCAGCTGAGATCAGAGGCAATGCTCTCTGTTCTGGGTGAGGAAATGAAAAATGAGGAACTTTTCCCGCCGCCTGTCCCTGGGATGGGCTGATGGTACTCTTAGGGAGAGCTGGGCTTGGGAGGAGCTTGAACTTGGAACATGGCCAGCCTTGGAAAGAACGTCCTCAGCAGGACCTCTCAGGGGACTCGTTTTCTATAGCAAAACCCACACCAGCCAGAAGACCAGGGCAGTGGCCCCAAGCCCAGGGCGTCTACCCTGGCTGCCTCCTCAGAGCAGCCCTGGGGGACCTGGCGCCTTGGAAGCTGGGAGGGCAGAAACAGAGCCTAGGGGAGGGCAAAAAGAGAGGGAGGTGTCTGTGTGTCTCTCAGCCCGGCAGGGGTGGGATGGGTGCTCCAGGACACTGGGAGCAAGTCTCCATCTCCATGAAACTAGATGTAGGAAAACCAGGGGAGCAACCCCTGGGATCTGGGCCAATGGGGCTTTTTGCCTTCGGGCAGGTCAGCAGATGGAGGGCCTGGGCCCCCAGGAGTTAACATGCAGGAGCCCGCCAAGGCCAAGCAAAACTGCAGGGCCTTCCAGCCCTTGGGAACCTGGCAAGCCCCAAAGCGAATCCAGGCTGCCAACAGGGCCTGGCTGGCTTTGTCAGCTAACTGGACGCCTGGGGTTTTCTTTGGTGTGGGGTGTCAATGCATGAGCTTCGAGGACCATATGGACCTGGACAGCCCTTGGCTGGACACAGGATGGGCTGGCCTGGTTCCCTAGCTCCCTCTCGCCTGGGGGCCTGGTGCACCCCGCACATCAGGAACCCTTGTAAAGTTAGGCAGCTCTCATCAAATGCTGCTGATGGCAGGCCCGGGACTCAGGATCCTCAGTGTAAGGGGAGGGGCAGGATATCTGGGCAAGTAGGAGGGGCAGGGTGGGTGCCCCCAACTGGGGCCGCACCCCATTAAAACTGCAGATGCAGCTGTCTTTCCTACTTGGATTCTTAAAAGAGGTATAATCCTCCTCCCATCCCTATACCAAGATACCCTGAGAAGCATGTGTGCCGGGAGCTCTGGCAAGAGGGCTAGGCTGAACCCACTGGCTATCACTCCCCATAGCCGTTTTCTCCCCAGAAACTTTCCTCCAACCAGACAGCTCTGCCCTGTCCCTGCGTGTGGCTTTCATCCTACCCCAAATTGGCTCCAGGCCAGGGCCTGAAAAATGCTGTCGGCTCCCTGCGTTGCATAGCCACCCAGAAACCAGCTCTGGGATTTGCCCAAGAGGAAAACATGGCCCCAAATCTAGCCCATCTGGACCTGTTTTGCCCAATGAGGGGGCCCCCCAAGAAGGAAGACATGGCACCACTTCCTGGAGACTGCGGAGGCAGGGTCAGCTGAGGGCTCCAGTGTTTAAATTCAGACTCCATGCCCACAGGTGCCTTGTGGGGTGAGGGGCTGCCCTGCCCCAGTGGACAACCCCTATATCGGTCACCTCGCGGAGGAGGGGCAAAGCCCACAGCCAAGTGACACTGCACCTTGCCCTGCAGGATGCCTTCACCACAGGAACCCCAGGCTCACAGAAAGGAACACACAAAACACAGACCACATAGATAAAAAGCTTTTTTTTTTTTAATTTTATCAAATTGATCTTTACAAAAGTTAGCGTGGCTTGGTCAGAAAGTAGCTCACCTCAGCAGGCGAATGACAACAAGTCTTCCCTGAACTCGATGCTGAAAAATAGACTGCATAAAAATGAGTTTGCTGTGGTCCCCCCCCCCCCCCCCCATGGAGAGATGCAAGAAAATTTTTTTCTAGAAAAAAAGTAGGAAAAGTAGAAAAAGTAAAAAGAAGCAACTTCTCAGATGCATTTAAATTTATAAAATTTTAAAGGCACAAGTTTCCATGAAGTAGGCGGTTATCATATGCTCAGCATACAGCAGAAGCTACAGCTAAATCAGGTATTATTCCTCTAAAACTAAGAACCTATCGTTTAGTGGAGAAGGTTTAGTTTCACAGCTTGGTAGGTGGCTCCGGTGCCTACAGGCCTACAGCCAAGACCATTGCATTTCTAAAGCTGCCCTCCCCAGGAAATTCCTGTCTTCTACCAGCTGGCCTGGCTATGGGTAGGGACAAACCACTGCCTCCCAAACCCCACCTAACACCAGGTGCTGGGGCACCCTGACCTGTCAAAGACACTACAAGGCAAGTCCCTTCTCCTCCCTTGGGATTTTGGCCCCAAGCAGCCCAGTATCCCAGGGGTGGGGGCTTTGGAGCTAGGGGCCAGGCAGGCAGCTTCCCCAAACACCAAAAGCAATGAGATGTGGCCCATGCTGTGACCCCACCTCTGTGCCTGGCCCTCCAGGACGCTTCCCCGGCTTTGATTTTGTCTTAAATTCTACTCTTTAAACAGATTACTTCATTAATTAAAGATAAAATACAGAACATAAATATATCTTTAACAGCTTTCAAAACAAACATGTTTAAGCTTCAAAAATAAAAATTAACAAAAAATAAAAATAAAAAGAGAGGAGTGTTAATCACAGCCAAACCTTGCTTGGAAGAACTGACTACAAGGAATGCCTGCAACCTAATAAGCTGGTCCCAAGAGGCACTCGTGTGGACACAGCTGCCAGTCCAGGGAGCATCCTCCATAGGTGTGTGTGTGGGAGGGTGTCTCCATGCCAATGTGGGCCTGGACCTCGAAGCAGCCCCAGCCAAGACCACGCGCCTCTCCCCTCTGTCCTCTGTGGCACTGCTTTTCATGGACAGAGAATCAAACGCAAGGAGCTGGTGTCCACAGGCCTCACAGAAGAGGGACCCAGTGTTCAGCAGAGGCTCAGAGATCTATGGGCCCAGGGCCGATGATAGTGACACAGCTGTTCCCACAGCTTCAGCAGGCACTTGGCTCTACCCTGGCCACTCACACTGGGAGGCCAGGGGACCCCATCTGTCTTGCTGAGAAGAGGCTGTCTGCTACCGACAGGCATCCCTCCCCAGGGTACAGCCTCAGGGCCTGGTCAGCGTAGTGTACACGGGCTGGTCCCAGTTACTGGTGGGGCTGTGGGCAGGTGGCAAGGACAGCCCATTGAGCAGCGGTGAGGCATAGGGCCGGCGGGGCGAGTGGAAGTAAGGGTACTGGTAGAGGCTAGATGGGTAGCCAGGGTACGGACTGTAGTAGCCAGAGGCCTGCAGGTCAGCGTAGTCACACTGTGAGCTGGCAAAGGAGCTGGCAGCTGCCGCGGGGGCAGCTGTTGTCACACTGGCCTGGGCACTGTAGGAGCCATAGTCAGCACGACTGGGTGAACCATGGGGCTGGTCGCTGTAGTGGCTGGGGCTCAGCTGCTCTGTCTTAATCTGTGGCCGTGGGGGACCCGCCTCTGAGGGTGAGGCTGAAGCTGGAGGACCACTCTTATGCACCCACACGGGGGATGCCCCCGGGTGAGAGTAGGAGGTACCCCCGTAGGAGCTGGTGGTTGCCTGGCTGGGCTCTGTGGGCATGGCTGAGTGGCCGCTGAGAGGCAGGTACTGGTCAAACTCGTGGACATCGAAGGTGTCCATGTTGCCCATGACCTCGCTGCTGAGCTCAGAGATGTCCACATTGCTGAAGTCAATGTTCTGGCGCCCACTGTCCACTAGGCGGCGCCCTTCCAACTTCAGCTCTGGCTTGGCCCCAACACTGGCCCCCGCCTGGTGCAGGTCTGCCTTGGGGGTGGTGGGCGGGGTGGGAGGCCCGTGGGTCTGCCCTGCGGACCGAGAGCACATTTCAGGGATGAATGCCCCTTCTGTGGGGGGTGGGAGGGGCTGGCCTGGCTGGCCAGGGACGAAGGGGGAGAGACACCGCAAGCTAACTGCCACAGGTAGGGATCAACAGCTTTTTGTTTCTTTACATTTCCCAGAAATTCCAGCAAAGTCAGATCCAGACCTCATTCCTTGGCCAAGAAAATTCCATTAAGCACAGTTCTATGGAAAAACGGACCCCCCACCCCCACCCTCCCCACCCCCGTTGGATACCACAGTTGGGCAGAGGGTGGCAGAGCAAGCACTCAGGGAGCTCCAGGATCCACTGTGATGAAGCCACACAAAACCTGTCCTTCCCCAGGACCATCCAGCAAATCCAAGCTCCCAGACTTTAGCCAGCTGGGCATCCACCCGCCAGTCTGACCCTGAAGCTGGAGCTGCCTGCTGACCACCATGCCTGGGCCACTCTCACTGTTAATGGGTCCCACTGAAAACACCCACCTCACAGGCACAGGCCCAAGCAACACCTATAGCAGCCTCCTCATGTGTCAGAATCAGCTGTGATCGGGGGCTCTGGGGACTTTTTTTCTGGGCACCTGGGGAAGGCCTGGCTCTGTCTGGCCTGTGTTGAGGCTGCCCCAACCATTGCAGCTCAGCCTAGCCATGGCCAGACACTGAGACATGCCACAGTTGGCCGTGGCACCTACCTGTGTGGTCGCCATGGTGGTGCACATCACTGAGGCCTGCATCAGCCTTGTACATGGCGCCACCAGAGTGGTGGCTCAGCTCAGCTCCCGAGTCTGAATCACTCTGGCCAGTCTTCACACTCTTCCTGCGGCGGGGCTGGTACTTGTAGTCTGGGTGGTCCTTCTTGTGCTGGACACGAAGCCGCTCTGCCTCCTCCACGAAGGGACGCTTCTCACTTTCACTCAGCAACCTACAAGACAGAGGTTAGGGGAGCGATGACAAGGGAGCCCGGGTCCACATTCCAGCCAGCACCCAGTGTACGCTGCCTTGGGGATTGGCAGCAGAGAGAACCAAGGCTCCCTCTGAGGAAGCCTGCCACATGCACTGCCCTCTCTGAGAACAGAAGGCTGGGGCCTACAGGGAAGGCTTGTTTCAGCCAAAGGAGTAAGCCCCAAACCTGTCTTTCTTCTCTTGCTGACCCCCTTCCCAAGCCTGTTTGTTCCCCCTCTTTGGGGCTTTCTCAGAGAGGTGGGGGAGGTGGGCAGGACCTAGCTGAGAATTACACTGTGGACAAAAGCAAAGCTTCCCGGGAACTGTGCCGGACCGGCGGGCAGCGGGCTTGCAGCCCCTCTGTGTTCCCATACTTTCAGAAACACTGATGAAACCCAGTCCTTACAGAGCCTCAGAGCACACACACCCCTCAGGCGCCTCCAAGCTGCCCAGAACTGCCCAGGGCAGGGCTTGGGGGAGCAGGACTGTGCCCCAGATCCAGACAGAAAGCGAGAAGGGAAGAGCTGAAAGCTCTAAGCCCCCAGTGACCAGGTGAGGAGCAGGAAATGGGGACCCAGAGTCCCAAACTCACAGCCACCCATTGTAAACCCAAGTAAAGGTCATTTGGTAGGGTGGCCTATCCTGAGCAATGCATCCTCCACTGCTGCTGTGCCACTTTATGCAAAAACAGCTTCACCAAGCCAGTGTGTGCGCATAGTGTACCTCTGCTGGGCAGTTCCTTCACCATCTCCTCTCTGTCCTTTCCTGCTACGGGCATAGAGGTAGCCAGAAGAAACTGAAGCAGTAGGGTTGTACCAGCTGGTCAATTAGCCATCTCTCCACCTGCCCACCTCTCTCTGTCCCATGGGTGGCCTGGGAGCCCTTTCCAAGAAAAGGCACCGCCAGAGAGCAGAACCTCATACTTGACCCACTCACAGTGGCTGGGGGATCACGTTCAGGTGCCAGCCATGGCCCCTGCAGGATGTCTCCAAGAGGGGGGAATGTGCTCAAAAGTGTACAGACCCCACACTCTGCCCTAGCCGACCAGACCCCATACCTGGCGCCAGATCTCTGTTGGCCAGAGGGTACTTTTCCATTTGGAGCGCCCTGGGTGGGAACCGCCCTGGAGCGGGCTGAGGTGGGCAGCCACCTCTGTGAGTCCTTGCACTCCCCCAGGTCCTGCATGCAGCCTGAAGCCAAGTGTGGGCAGGGTCCCCATCCGCTCCCCGGATTACCCCCTCCCCGGGGCTGGAGATGGCACACTCACCGCCATAGCTTGCCAAGCGTCTTGCTGAGCTCTGCGTTGTGCAGGTGCGGGTACTGGTCCGCTAGCTTGCGGCGCGCAGCCTGGGCCCACACCATAAAGGCGTTCATGGGCCGCTTCACGTGCGGCTTGGCCTTGAGCGCGCCGCCCCCGCCGCCGCGCACCGGCATGGGCACCAAGCTCCAGTCATAGCCTTTGAGCACCTGCGACACGGCGTCGCGGATACAGGCAGGAAAGCGGTCATCCGCCGCCTCTGCCGAGTCCCCCCGACCGCCGGCCACCGTACCCCCAGTGCGGCCCAGGCCCTCGGAGCCCGTGGGCGACGGTGGCGCGTCGGAGTCAGAGTCCTCCACGTGCGACATGGAGCTGGCTGTGCCAGACGGGCTGCAGGGTGGCTGGGTGCGAACCTCGCTCATGTCCAGCATCGGGGCTGAGCGCGGAGGGGCGCGCACGGGAAGATGCACCAGGACCGGCGCTCGGGCTGCGGTGCGGCCGCTCTGGTACCCGAGGTCGCCGCGGGGAGGCCCGACTTTCTTCCTTGACGCCGCCGCCCTAGCTTCAGCTCCCCCACCCGCACCAATACCGCCGTTGCCGCCGTTGCCGCAACTCCGTCGGGGCTCGGAGACCAGCAACAAGTTTCTTTTAAGAGGCGCCGAGAGGCTCCTCCCCTCACCCATCTCCCCATTGGTCAGGGCGCCCCCCCTCTCCTAGGGGAGGGGCTTGTCCGCCCCCGCCTCCCCACTCTTATAGGAAGGTCTCCTGTTCCCGCTGCACCCCCGCCGGCCCCACCCGGCGCCGCACCACGTGGGGGCCGCGGCGCCCAGCATCTCAGGACTCACGCTCTGACCAAGAGCGGTCTCCCGCCTCCACACGCTAAGAGCTCCGCTTCCTGGGAGGACCGAGAAGAAAAACAGTGCCGGGAGGGCGGGCGAGGGACACTACTGAACGCGCTGTTCTGCGAGCCGGCTGCAGCCCCTGGGTCAGCCCGTCCCCAGGCCGGATGTTCAGCAAGGCAACAGGTTCTCCAGGACCAGCCCCCACCATATATACACCCACAGTCCGTCAAGAGCCCTGACGTCTCGCCAGCAAGCCCGAAGCGCTGGGTCAGCTGCTATCTGCCTGCAGCCCAGGGTAGGGTCTGCTCAGCTGCGTAGAGCCAAAGTCCAAGCTCCCGGTCCTCAGGGCAGGCGCAAAGTGCAGGAGTCACCACCTCCTTCCGAGTCAGCGGGCAGCACACGTCCAGGTAACGCGATCCCAAGGGCCGCGGCTCTGAGGCGGGTGACCCCAGCGCGTCCTCTCCATCCTGGTGTGAGCTTGCATAGCGCTGGCGGGGGCGCGGTCCCAGCAACCCGGCAGCTGGAGGGGGCGGGAGCAATGGGCGTGGCCTGTGCTGACCCTGGCTGCGGAATCCCTGGGGCCACCAGGCGGATGGCGTGGCCGGACGCGGGGGCCTAGTGCCTTCCGGGTGTGACCCCGGGGTTGGAGGCGCAGAGGCCCTCTCTGCACCGCGGCTCTGGGTGGTCCGACGGAGGCGGAGGCGGCTCCTAGCCACTGCGCCTGGGGCGCCTGGAGGGGAGGAGGGGTAGGGGCGGGATGTGCCGCCCTGTTGGGGCAGAGGGGTCGGAGAAGGGACATTTCCTCCGAGACAAGCGCTGAGACACTGCTGCGAGTCCCCGCCCGAGGCCACCCCCTCGAGTTGGCCTCCAGTCCGGCAGTCCTAGAGGACGGATCGGATGCTTTCGACCAACGCGCAGAGGCGATTGGCCTGCCTTCCCGAGTTGTGCCGCCCCTCTTAGGCGGCCGACGCGGGACACGTATTTCTTCACGCGTGTAGCCTGCGAGACCCGGTGATCCTAAGCAAGGCTGCCGTAGCCCCGGAGTGACGCCATCTCTCCCACTGGGTCAGCGGAAGGGGCTGATGTTTCCAAAGGGAAAGATGGTGGGCGGTGCCAGAGCTTCTAGCCCGCTCACCTTACCCACCTCCGACCGCGTAGGATGCGTCTCCGGCCCTCAGAGATGGTGCCCCCAGCTGCTGCCTGTCCGCATCCAGGAGGAGGAGCTCCTGGGACTGCCCAGACCGCTGCTTCGCGTTTGGAACGGCAGCTGCCAGTTCAGGAGCTGGACTTAAAAGGGGGCCTTTTGCAGGGGATGAGGATCCAGGGCCCAGGCTGCCTGCCACCTGTCACGTGAAGGGAAAACACTCCTGTCTGAGCACACAGACTGACTCCGAGGCTGGGGCTCCTTAAGGTGAGCAGAGCACTGGGAGGCTCCGGAGGGCAGGTGGAGAGCTGGCTGCCAGGGCGGCTGCACTGTCCTCCTCTCCTGCCATCCACTGCCTTTGGCTCTGCCACCTGCCAAGGAAGACTTCTTTCCACCAGTGTGTGGTGGCTTTCCACCACCGTGGAGGTCCTGCCCTTTACCTACGTCCCTGCCTTGGCACTCTGTGGTCTGCAAAGCACCACCTGTGGGAGGTGACTGCTGGGAGGGGGTGGTTCCAGGGGGGATTGCTGCCTGGGAAGTCATGGACCTTCTCACCAAACCTTCCACTAGACCCAGGACCTTGGCAAGTGAAAGCAGGGGTTTAAGCAGAGTAGGGGGGGCAAATGGTATAGCCTTTCAACCCCCATCCTGGCAGAGCAGACACATAACACATCAGGAGAGAGGTCTCAATGAAGGACTCTACTTCACCAGGGGCAAACAACACAGAGGTAGCTTTGGCGTGCTGGGCAGCTTCTTACCCACAGTGGTGGGTACCACACCAGTATTCCCCACTGGGGACCTAGGAGTCCAGTGCCTGGCTCAGATCACAGGGTAGTGTACTTTGGGCTACACCAACTGCCTTTCCCTAAGCTGCAGTGACCACCCACGGGCTGGCAGGAGGTGCCAGTGGGCAGCCCATCAAGCCTGTGCAGGCCACCATGGGGTGAGTGGGGAGGGGCAGAATACTGGCCAAATTGGGCCCGACTGGCCCAGAGCACGGTATAAGAGTAAGGGCCCAGCCCCTCCTGAACTGGGTATAGTGTGGGCTCTGGGCACATCAGCCTTGCCTCTGGTCCATCTTGAAATCCTCAGGGAAATGCCAGTCTACTGTCAGGGCTTCCTGATCCATTAGTGCTGACCTCAGTTCATGCCATTGGCCACTAGCTCCTGAGTGGACTCTGGGATGTGACTTCCAAAGAGGGAGATGTCTAGGGTAAGTCTGTGTGTTCTTGAGAATCGATTAAGCCTGCTTAGTGCCTAGGGTTCTCCTAGATGAGGAAGTGCAGGACCACGTTCCACAGTCCTAAAGATGCTGGCCTTGGGGTAGAGGCAGGTAGCCAGCAAATGAGCAGCATCTCCAGGGTCCTCATCCCTGGGGGGGGGGGTCTGTAAGAAGGGTGGTCCAGGGAGGCTTCTTTGAGCTTTGACAATTAGGCTGAGACATGATGCTTCCAACCTGGCAGAGAGAGGAAAATGCATTCCCAGAGTGGGCCGCACATGCAGAGGCCCTGAGGCAGCACAGAGCACAAGGGATTCTATGACGGAGAGGTGCCTTAGGGGTCAAAGAGATGATGGGCAGCTGTTGGAGCCATTGCACTGCCCGTTTCTTTCCTCAGCTACATGTCCTCACCAGTGGCCCTGCTCCCCCTTTTCACTCAGCCCCTCCTCCCTACCCTGACCCATCAGTGGTGACCCATCTGGTGGGCTGAACAGTATCAGTGAGAGGGTCTGATCAGCACCACTTGGCTGGCTGATACCAGTGGGTGGGAGGCTGATAGGAAGGAGGTTTTTGCACAGAGGGGGTGCTGTGGGTGCTGTGGGAGGTGGGCTGGCAGGTACTGCCTGTGCCCATGAGGTGGTCAGAATAGGCCTGTGGGGGCTTCCAGGCCAAAGACTCACACACCCCACTCCTCAGCCTCTGGGGATGGCAACTCAGGAAGCCTGTGTATGGCAGTGCAAGTGTGTGCATGGCATGTTTTGTTTGTTGTGTGTATATTTGAGGTGTGTATGTGGTGTATGTATGGCGTTTTTATGTTTGTAATGTGTGTATTGTGTATGTGGTGTGTATGTGAGAGTGTATGTTTTGTGTATGATGTGTGTTGTGTGTGGTATGTGTATGTTTTGTATGTGGTATGTCTGTGCAGTGTATGTTGTGCATGGTATGTGTGTGTGGCATGTCATGTTTGTATGCTGTGTGTGGTATGTGTATGGTGCAAGGCGTGTGATGTCTGTGTATATTGTGTGTGGTGTGTCATGTGTGTATACTGTGTGTGGTGTGTGTATATGTTGTACATATGTGGTATGTGTATGGTGTGAAGTTTTACACTGTATGGTGTGTATGCTGTGTGTATATGTGATATGTATATGGTGTGAGGTGTGTGTATGTGATATGTACAGTGTGTGCTGTGTGTGTGCACTGTGTGTATGTGGTTTATGGTGCTAAGTGTGTGCATGGGATGTGTGTATCCTGTGTGTATGTGGTGTGTGTGGTGTGTAT